CAGCAAAATTTCCATTGAATTGAGACTAATTATCCAACAAGTACCACAATGTTGTTATGCACTTCAGCTTTGGCTTGGCAAGTTAAGAAGAAAATTTAGGATTTTTCCTGTCAACTTCAGATTCTTGTTTTGGCTATAGACTGGTGTATAGAATTGGATATATTTGCTTCACCATCATTTGGGCAGAAAACCAATATGGAGGTGGTTGGCTCTGAATAATACATTTTTCTTCCCATACTTCAGTGAATTGTGATATAGTTGCCAGGTTGGATCATAGTACTATGCCACTGAGTGGTTTTCCATCTCTGGCATGTAGCATGGGCCATGAAATAGAAAAGGGATTCTCTCCTTGCATTTGTTTTTTCATTTTTTTAATTGCTGTTGGTGCTTGCGAATCATATGGGTTTGCTTCACAATCAACATTTAAAAAATTGCATGGAATTGCTTTGGAGAAGGTTCCAGTAATGAGAAGCAAATTGGCTGACTTCATAAAATCAGTGATGAGATTAAAGGGTGTGACCAAAATCTAGTTGGGAGTTAATGAGAAAATCAAGACAGGCAAGAAAAAAGAGAGGAAGATTCTGAGCACACATTCCAAGGGGAAAGAAGCCAAGGAGATGGGAAGAAAGAAAACAATACAGGGTTAGGAAATGGACATTGCTTTGGTTTTTGAAGGGGACGTTTGTCTATTTTCATCTGACAAGGGAAAGTATCTAACTGTGCACCCTCTTCTGTAGGATATCCATGTGACCTATTGTCACCACCTCTCTGTCATTCAACAAAGCAATAGAGCCTCTTCTTCTGTCTCTTTCATGGTTCTAACTTCTCATCAGACCAGAAAATTGTTCATCATCCGTCTTTTATTGTGGATAACTTGTTTTACAGAACCTTCATGACTCCCATTAACTGATATCACTATCTAATTAGCATTGCTTATAGCACTTAGAGGTAACACACATAATTAATAAGAATATTAAAATGCCGGTGGATAGGGTTAAGACGAACAGAATTTTTACGAACAATCATGAATAGCTCTGTTTCTATTCATTTTTTTCATTTATTAATATCAACAAATAATCATGAACAATATTTTAAGATTCATTAATTAAATAAACAAATCATAAATATAATAAAGTTCATTCATACTGAGTTTGTTTATACCCTTATTGGTAAGGTAAAATAAGGGTCAACTGCATAGTAATAACACTACTTGAGGCATAACCACTGGGCAATATCGAAATTTTCTATTTACAAGGCAATTGAAATACGTAAGAGGATGATTCTTAGGCCATTTAATATGGACCATGGAGGAATCACTTGGTCTATTGGTAGAATACTGTACTCTTAGCTATAGGGATCAATATTCAGATTCCAACAGCTTCAAACATAAAAAATAAAATATATGAACTATGGAGTGTACCTCCTAATGTGGAAATGTCAGCTTGCTTCACTAAATTTAGGTAATAGATTTTGATTCCTCTATGCCTTTCTGAAGAAAGTTTGATATGTACGAACAAACTGATGGTTACATGAAAAGTATATGACTTCCAATAAAATTTGCACATCACAATGGTTTGTCATCAGGCAACTGTTTAACTAGTTCAGTATAAAATGGTAGCAACATTTCGTTGTTTGATCAACTTGGAGTTGTTTTCGGCAATTTGCTTGATCACAGCATTACAGGCCAATCTCCTATAATATATGTTCTTACAGGAACATCTAAATTTTCCTATGGACTAACTGAAATTATGATCACGGATCAGAAGCCTGGAGCCAACTTTTTTTACTTTAGTCATTTTTACTTTTTTTACCAAAACAACTCCCAAACAATGTGACATTGACCTAATTTGTGATCACACTGATATGACATAGTTTATCGTGTCGTAGTTAATAGAATAATCAATCCCCCGAGATCCAGATAACCAAAATTCTTGCCACGTTTCAGATTATGATTACAAATATCAAGGGAAGAGATGTGGTGGCATTATGAATATGGTTTTTATATTTTGTTTAAAGGAATTCAGTGCAGGGCACATGATTATGTGATAGGTCAACTCTCATAGCTTATAAAACTGTATAGAGTAATTAACTTGAGCTGCTAGTACTGTTATATTGCTTTTTATCAAAAACCAGGAAGCAAACTGTTGTGTGGTTTATTGGTAGAGTGCTAAATTTTTAGTTTCAGTGATTAGGTTCAAATTCTAACAATCTAAAGTATTAAAAAAAGAACAAGAAAACTTCCTTGCAGGTTTGTCTGGTTTTTAACAGTATCAAAGGAATAGAAGATTAAGTAGCAGAAAGGCAAGAAAACTTAAAGAAGCTGTCCCTTGCTTCCTCTACCACCCTCCAAACCTCTTAGATTATGGAAATTTATACTCTTATGTGTAATGAGGTCTCAAAGGTGGGTTCACAATGTAATGGGACTTTACTCTATCTCCTCAATTTTGTTCTCTTACTGAAGGAGTTTCAGGCTGGATCATGGGGGATAAAATCTGTTCAAAACTGTCACACAAGAATTTAGATGCTATCTTTGGCAAGATCAGACAAAAATGCATCTTAAGGTTCCAAAAGAAATTTCCTAGGATAAATTAAGAAGCTTTAAAATGGAAGTGTTGGTGCAAATTTAGCAAATTTACAGGATACTTCTAAGGCAAAAGGGCAGTTTATGGTGTAAATATCATGAAAGTCTTGATTAGAAGTGGTCAGTTCAGATTGGATAATATGAAAAAGTTATAGACTTGTAATTCTCAGATTGATTTTAGTTTGGTGCAATAACTCCAAGTGTATCTCATTATCTTCCTGGGGTAGCTGTAAAATCTATGCAAAATCTTCTGCTAACTAATCTGATAATTTAAACAATGGTGCATTGTTTAGCTTAGCTTTATGGTCAGTAGAAGTTGTCTTAGATCCAGATATTGAAATCAACAGCTTGTCCTAGTCCAACTTGGCACTGTTTAGGATATAAAGATTCTTATTTTATCTAGAAGCAAATATTGAATTTAAGAACACATAGTTTAGTTCTGATGGCTTATACAGCCACCTTTAAGAGCTGATATCTACTAGGTTTGGAGTTCAAATCTCAGCACCTGCAATCTCTTTCCTTATTCCCAAATTGTGGCATCTTTGTACCAAAAAAATATTGAATTTAAGATCCTTAAAGGATAATTGTTCAATTAAAGTTGATTCTTCCCTGAGATAGCGTTCATTACACCTTGATTGACTTTGTGGTTTTTTTTTTTTTTTAGTTTGACTAATTGGTTCTGTTAGCCTAGCTAGTAGCATCATCTCAAACTAGACTAGTTAAAGAAAACCCTGGAAGAGGCATAGTTTAATTCTTGTTCAACTTGTCAAGGATTTGATGATTATAAAATGTACAATTACAAACCAAGAAGGTGACGATTATAAGTTCTGGATTTCAAAAAGCTTGTTAATTATACCCAGACCTGCAGTTACAAAGGCATCCATTACCATTTATATTTGTAAGTTCTGGCATCAGGCTACTCAGTGGGGCAATAAAATCCGAACAAATCCATGTTTATCTATCTGTCAAGGGAGGTCCATTACAATGTTGACTCAAAAACAATGTTCGAGAATATGTGACATACCACACTTTTAAAGATGCAAACATTTGCATTCTGCAACACAGAATTGACACCAAAAACATAGTTCAAGCCAACACAAGTAGCCCAGTCCCGGATTCCTGATCAATGAAGCCTACAAGTTTGTGCTGTACATTGACAGAGCGAGAAGCATGTGTTCTGTTCAGCAACAATAGGCATCTTCTGATCAATATCAGATTCAGAATAAATAAATGTGTTCTGTCATATTTATCAACTCATTTAGGCTAACCATGTTAGTTATGAAACTATAAGGATTTGCCTTATCTTCATTGTTATGCTTAGTTTGGTTTATTTTTGTCCTTGTTTTTGTATGTAACATGATGGTGCAGCCAATTCTCATGGGGAAAAAAATGAAGTATCTAATTTCTAACAGATTGAACTTACTGCTTGTAAGATTTTGATGAAATTAATGAGGAAACTGGTAGAATTCTGTATTTCCCTAGTAGGAGAGAGCTGGTTGGTAGCCTTTTTTTTGGTTACCTAGGAGACCACAGTATGGGAATAAGTGAAGGACTGTGAGTACTGAAATTTGAGGCCGATCTGCTTAATGCCACCTTAAGGGGTAATTACATGAACCAAATTGAACTATGTTTCGGGGAACGAACATTATTGGTTTTATGCCCTTGGCTATGTTGGAAAACATGAGGCAGGGTAAAAGTATGGTAAAAATAATTGTGTTATTTAACTGTTATCACCCCTATAATGAAATATTCTGAAATCTTCTCCAGGATTACAATGCTAAACTTTCTGACTTTGGGCTTGCCAAAGATGGCCCAGAGGGAGATGACACTCATGTATCTAGTCGTGTGATGGGAACCTATGGTTATGCAGCTCCCCAGTATGTTATGAAAGGTAAATATGAGTGAACTCCTTTGAAGATAATTTTACATTGAGCATATGCCCACCCCCTGTTCTTTTCCATTTCACTACATGTCCTTGTTCCGGGGATTTAAATTATCATTGGGAAAATAAACATCAGCCAATTAGTTTGAAAGTTCATGCTGGCCTGCTCTCTAAATAGTGAGCATTTATGGGCATTGTTGTCCAATATGACAGTGATCACGTAGAAGAAACTCCTGAGAGAAACAATGAAGAACTTGTTGGAATCAACGAAAAATGGTTTCCTGCTCATTTGACCTTTTCATGCTTTTTAAGATCAATATTTGTACTGCTTGTTCATCGCCTACATTCCCTCTAGCAATTGAGATTAGAGCTAGAACTTGTTGTTCCTCATTCTAATGCTCATGTCCAACCATTGCGACAAGAAATTAGTACTCCATAAATTTGTGGAGTATGCTGGTTGCCAGAGATACTAAGTTGAGCTTACTGCAAATACCAGACCTTTAGAATGTTAAATGTTTACTCCATAACATTCAATTGATTTTTTCTTAATGACTTTTCTTCTTCGTCTGTTGGAGTAAAAATGTGGATAAATTTGGCATACAACACCAATCACTTTGATAATTCATGTCCACTGGGACCAACCTTTAACAAGAAAATCAGGGAGGAATCAAAGGACAGATAAAAGATCAGAAATTGTAAATGAAATCTAAATTCTGATGAAACAATAGGACACTCGCCTGGATTGGCATAAAAAAATAGTTTGAACTGATTTTGTCTTTAATTTTACACATACATTTTACTGTTCAGAAGTTCTGAGAACGAGACTTCTCGGATGGGCTTCGAGAGTAATGGTCTTCGCTGAACAAGAAACTCTTGAGACACAATTTTCATTGTTGGCCGGAACTTTGGGTTGAGACTTAAGCATGCAAAAGCAAGACTAGAAGCAAGAATAATATCAAGGGTGATCCTTTTATTTGTTGGAGGTGATAGACGAGGGTCTAATATATCACTAAGCATCATGTTTTGGGAAGAAGCTGATGAAAGTGATGTTAAGAGCTCCCCAGGATGCTTTCCCATTAGTGTTTCCAATGCCAGTACTCCAAAGCTATAAACATCGCATTTTTCACTTACAACTATTGTATATGCAAACTCTGCAAAAAAAAAAAAAAAAAAAGCATAAAATTTTTGAGGTTCTGACTTCAACATTTGGTTAAGTCAAAAGAAAGAAGGATTAAATATGAACCTGGAGCTATGTAGCCATAAGTGCCTGCAAGTATGCTCTGATTTGATGAATCAGGATCCAAGAGTCCAGCATTTCCAAAGTCAGAAACGACAGCCTCCAAATTTGAATCCAAGAGAACATTGTTGCTTGATATGTCTCGATGAACAATTGGTGGTGAGCAATCATGATGCAAGTAAGCTAGAGCATGTGCTACACATTTGATGACATTAACTCTTTTAATCCAATCCAATTCCACAGCTTCAGCATCATTGCTTAGAACACAAAACAAGCTTCCTCCTTCCATGTATTCATAAATCAAAAACATGCATTGCTTGTGTAGGCAAAATCCATGAAGCTTCACAATATTTCTATGTCGTATTTCTGTCAGCAACTTCACCTCATTTCCAAAGCTCTTGCTGAATGCTGGCTTCTCGGCTTCAAAACGGTGAAGCTTTTTCAAAGCAACCACTCTACCACTAGGTAAACATGCTTTGTATACACTGCCATAGCCTCCAGTTCCAATGCAATATTTGATGTCAAAATCCTCGGTTGATTTAATGATGTCTTCATACGCAATTCTTCCATCATAGTTCAACACTGAGAATATATCTCCATTTTTTGTTGCACCGGGATCAGGTTTGAAACTTTTAGCACTATATCGGAAAATGGCCAACATCACCAATGCCAAAGTTGAGACAAAATATAATGTTGGAACGATAATAATGATTTTTAGATTGTGCATCACTTTGCTGTTTCTTTTCCCTTTTACAGTTGGAGATGAAGATGAAGGGCACGGTGAGAAGCTTGTAATGGCACCACATAAATCCTTATTGCCTGTAAATGACTCTGGTGGAAGATGAAACAACACACTTGGAATTGGACCCATCAAGGAGTTAAATGACAAATTGAGTTTCTCCAAATGCAAAGGAAAGTTGGGAACCCTTCCACTCAAATGATTGTTTGCTAAATTCAATTCTAGTAAATTTAAGCATTTATCAATTTGAGTTGGAATAGGTCCACTCAATCTGTTTTGGGAGAGATCCAAGTAACTCAAAGCTTTCAAACTCCCAATTTCATGGGGTATGGGACCTTCAAAAAGATTTGAAGCAAGGGATAGATAGAACAAATTGGTTAAATGAAGTAGAGATGAAGGGATAGAATTGGAAATGTTGTTAGAATCTAGATATAAATATTTTAGATTCTTCATATTTCCAATTTCAGAAGGGATGGAACCATGTAAAATATTCCCAGAAAGGGACAAAACTTCCAAATTAGTCAAATGACACAGGAATGAAGGGATTGGACCTGTGAGTTTGTTATAAGAGAGGTACAACGTAGTTAGACTCTTTAATTTTCCAATATCTGATGGGATGAAACCCTCAAAAAGATTTGAATCTAGGTACAAACTAGTCAAACTGGGTAACAGACCTAGAAATGGAGGGATTTGACCACTGAAATTGTTGGCGCCGAGATCCAAGAGTACCAAGTTATTAAGATTTGTTATTTCTGAAGGGATTGAACCATTTATTTGATTTCTATAAAGGCTCAAACTTTCCAAATTGGATAAATTGCCCAAATTTGGAGGGAGTGGACCAAGAATTTTGTTTGAATCCAACCAAAGAAAATTGAGATTCTTCATATTTCCAATTTCACGAGGGATGAAACTATTAATTTGATTAGACCCAAGGTTGAGATATACTAATTTCGTTAATCGACCCAAAGAGGAAGGGATGGGATCCAAAAACATATTGGAGGAGAGATCTAGAGCAACCAAATTGGTTAGTCTCCCAATTTCTTTTGGAATGGATCCATTGAGTTGGTTATTTTGAAGGTCCAACGTTGTCAGATTGGTTAAATTGCTAACAGAAGAAGGGATAGGACCCAAAAGCATATTGAAGGAGAGATCTAGAGCAACCAAATTGGTTAGTCTCCCAATTTCTTTCGGAATGGATCCATTGAGTTGGTTATCTTGAAGGTACAACGTTGTCAGATTGGTTAAATTGTTAACAGGAGAAGGGATTGGACCAACAAACATGTTGCTTGAAAGATCAACAGTAACCAAACTCTTTAGCTTTGCAATATTTTGTGGGATAGGACCAACAAGCATGTTGCTTGAAAGATCAAGAGTAACCAAACTCTTTAGCTTGGCAATATTTAGTGGGATAGGGCCACTGAGCACGCAGTGACTGAGGTTGAGAGTCATCAACCCTTCCAGGTTCCATAGTTCGTGGGGGATGCTCTGTAATCGATTGAAGTCCATATTCAAGTGGGTGAGATTGCTCAAAAAACCTATAGCTGAAGGCATATGCACGACGAGGTTCTTAGTCAAATTTAGAGAAACAAGATTCTTCATGTTCTCTATTGCCAGGGAAATGGAATCAATCTCGTTATAAGAAATGTCAAGCACCAATAATTGAGTGAGGTTTCTAAATGAAGGAGGTAACTCACCTCTAAGACTATTCCCGGACAGGTTGAGATATTTGAGTTTTGAAAGGGCACCTATCTGAGGTGGTATATTCCCATTGAGTCCACGGCCACTGAGATCAATTTGGGTGACACTTCCAACTACGTTGCATCTGACACCAGGCCATCTACAATGGTCAGCATCTTTTTTGCTATGGTTAGTCCACCACCCAGTCTCCATCAAAGCTTTTGCATCTGCTGCCTGCAGAGGCTCTGAATCCGAAATTTCATTGCTCTTGACATATATAGAGAGTAAAAATAATATTGCTATAGAAGTGAAAAAATGGGATGCCATAGCTATTCAGTTCAGGCTTGAAGCCATTAACCCTAAACTTAAGGTATTTAAAGAAGCCTGGCAAAAAGTATAATTGTCAAGTCTTGGTCATTGCCTATGCATTAGCTTTTGATCGTCTTTTGAAGTGAAGAAAACGTGTACATGAACAATGTGTTCAACGTTAATTGTTAGAAAATGAAGTGAAAAAAATTATTCTTTTTTGATCACTTTTAGAAAATGAGAAGTCAGTTCTGTTTTTCTTCCTTGAAGCTTCTGATAAAGTAATAACGAAATGATGTAGCCTTGCCAGTAACCAGTTTTTGACTGGAAATATGTTCTATAGAACTTGTTCTTCTTCGTGGAAATGAAGATGAAATACAAATAATTCACATTGATGATTGGATTGTTATTCATGGATGACATGAAACACCCATGTTTTCGAATAATTTGTGAACACATACATACCTCTCAATATCTAGATAATTGTCTTCTCAAGCAAAGACCTTATAGCTTTAAGATAAAATACAAATAATTTTACAATGATGTGTTGATTATTATTCATGGATAACATGATACTATTTTCACATAAATTTGAAGAAAAAAAAAACCAAATCAGAATTTATAAAAACCAAAGTTCGTGATTGATTGAAATTATCAATGCCAAACCTTCAAGATCTGAATTACATGCTTGGATGCTGTGGTCGAGAAAGTTTGATCAATTTACACGACATGAAGTTGAAATTCAAGCGTAAATAATTGATTAATTAATTGTTAGAGAAAGTTCAATGTAAAAATCTTCAATAAGAGATTTTTTCTATCCAGTATGAGTTTCTTTTCCAAGCTTTTACTAGAGTAAAATAATTGATTAATTTGTATGGAACCTAAATATTCCAAATGATAACAATTAATCAATATGGGGTTCTTTAATTAATTGATTGATTAAATGAGAAAATAATTTAAGTAATAACTAGTTTATGATATGCATGGATTATTTTATTTATTTAAATATATATTTACACTGTAAATTTTATATTTTCCGAGGATTATATCTAAATCTTTAAAATTTTATGCCATATATAAAATATAATATATATTTAATTAACATGTCATAAGAAAATTAAACTTTAATATTATTACCTTGATCAAAATGGTACATAAAACAAATGTGAAACAAAAGGAGATATTAGATATGATTCAAAAAATAAAAAAGAATTAAATATAAATATAATATTGATTTTTTAAGAGAACATAAATATTAAATAATAAAAGAAGTATTGACATAATTTTACTAATTATGATTTTGATCAAAATACTGAAAAAAATATTAATTAAGAAATGTGTGATAAAAAAAATAACATTAATGTCAAAAAAGAAATTATCTAAATAAAATAAACAACAAAATCACAAAAGCAATATAAATCTTAAAGGAAAATTAAATACTGGGAAAAAATGGTGTAACTTATATTATTAATAGGATCAAAGTGACATTTGTTTTTTGAATTTAAAAGAAACTAATAATAAGGTATTTAAAATTAAAAAAAAAAAGGAGATATATGTGATTTTAAATTTAGAAATAATATTTTTGTGTTAATTATTTCTTTTTGCATATTTATAGTAAAAAATCAATAATTTAATTTATGTTTAAATTTAGCAATATTTTAATTAAAAAATCACTTGGTTAACGAATGTTTTGTCATATATTATTATCTTCTTATCTAAGTAATGTCAATCTAATCCTACATCAAAGTTTCAATTCATCATCTATATAAAAATAATTTTTCACTTATTTTATTTTTAATTATTTTCTTAAGAAAATTTATAGATAATTACTATTATTCTATATACATCATAGGATACATGAAAACATTGAAAAATATTATTGTAAAGAAAATAAAAAATAACTATCTGTATTATATATTGTTATGGACGTATGATCTTATTTAACTTATAAAAAATTTTGATAACATTTTACTTAAATTTATACACGAAACAGTAATTTAAAACGAAAGTTGGTTATATATTTACCATACATGATGAAATTATAAAAATACACATATTTCATACATGTTTTAGTTTTATTGATAATTATTCAAAACTCAATTAATTTAAAATGAAAAATATTGAAAACATATATTACAATTCTAATAATGAGAGCATAATATGTAAATATATCTATACTTTACATAATAATAACAATAATAACAATAATAATAAATAAAATCTAAAATTTCAAAATTGTTTGACAACATACTTACATAGTTTAAATAAAAGATAAAAATATATACATGTTCTATATAAAAAATTATAAATTTTAAATGAGATTTTTTTTCATTGAAATGATCCCAATAACCTCATTTCATTTAAATGAGGTAAATATTATAAATTATTTAATATAAAAAATATTTGGTTAAATATAAATTTTTGGGATTTACAACATTTTAAAAATTTAAATAATAAAATTATTTAATAAGTAATTACAATTAAAAAAATATCTTATATGTAAATAATACAAATTGTATCCTATTACACGTAAATTAAGTTTATGAGTTAAGTATGTATCCTACAATAAATATTATATATAATTGATTGGTAATTGATAATTCGTATAAAATGATAATTAAATTTTAATAATAATATTTAGATTAATCATTTTTAATATTTTAATATTTACACTATTATATATAAAAAATATTTTTTACTAAAATTGTTTCAAACTTTCAGTGTACCATTTTAGACTTCATTTAAAAATGTAGTGGGAGGCACGCGGTCATCCAACTCCTCAAAATTCAAAATCCCCTCAATTCCACTTTCCCCTTTCTCATGACTCATGAGCCACCGCCACAACAATGAGCCATCACCACGGCACCACCACTCTAGCCCGGAGCCGGTGCTTAACCCTCTTGCGACACTGCACCAAAACAACTCAACTCAAACCAATCCACGCGCTTCTAGTCACCCAAGGCCTCCATGAAAACCTCTATGTCATCACCAAACTAATAACCTCCCTTACCTCTGTTTCAACTAACCTCCACTACTCTTCCCTCCTCTTCAACCAACTCCAAAATTCCAACTTATTTATCTACAACACTCTCATTAAAGCCCACTCTAAAAGCCCCCACCCTCAAACTTCATTCCATTACTTCAACCTCCTCTTAAAGGAAGAAACTATAACACCCAATTGCCAAACCTTTAACTTTGTTCTTGTTGCTTGTGCAAAAACTAGTTCTTTGCTTTCAGGAATGCAAATCCAGAACTGGGTATTTAAAAATGGAATGTTTTCATCAGATTCTTACGTTCAAACTGGGGTTATAAGGCTTTATGTTGAAGCCAGGCTGTGGGATGATGCTAGGAAAGTGTTTGATGAAATTGCTTATGTTGATGTTGTTAAGTGGAATGTGCTTATGAGTGGGTTAATACGGTGTCGTTTAGGGGCTCAAGCTTTGAGTGTGTTTAAGGAAATGTTGGTTTTTGGAGTCGAGCCTGATGAGTTTTGTTTGACTACAGCTTTGACAGCTTGTGCACAAAGTGGGAGTCTTTGGGAAGGGAAATGGATTCACGAGTATGTGAAAAAAAGGGAAAATTATTTGGAACTTGATGTGTTTATTGGAACAGCACTTGTTGATATGTATGCAAAGTGTGGATGTTTAGACTTGGCCGTGGAAGTTTTTGAAGGGATGAGTAAGAGGAATGTATTTTCATGGGCAGCTATGATTGGAGGTTTTGCTGTTCATGGTCATGCAAGGAAAGCTATTCATTGTTTGGGAAGGATGCAAACTGATGGAATTAGGCCTGATGGGGTTGTTCTTCTTGGGGTTTTAACCGCGTGCACGCATGCAGGGTTGGTTGAGGAAGGTTTACTTTTGTTGAATAACATGGAAGGTCAATATAGGATTGTTCCTAAACATGAACATTATGGTTGTGTGGTGGACTCGCTTTGCAGGGTAGGTAAATTTGATGAAGCTCTAAAGCTCATAAGAAGAATGCCTATGAAACCACTTGCTTCGGTGTGGGGTGCTTTGTTGAATAGTTGTCGGATTCATAACAATGTTGAGCTTGCCGAGCTTGCTGTTAAAGAGCTTCTAGAGCTGGAAGATTGTGATGTGGATGAAGAAGACGCAGCTCTTGTGCAGTTATCCAACATTTACTTTGGTGCTCAGAAAAGTGAAGATGGTCATAGGGTCCGTAGGATGATTGGTGATAGAGGGCTCAGGAAAGCACCAGGATGCAGTATGATAGAGGTTGATGGTAGGACAACCGAATTTGTTTCTGGTGACGTATCGCATCCAATCCATTTTCAAATACATGCTTTACTGAAGCTACTCTTCCCTGGGGACCCTGACACCTTGTAGACATTATGGATCATATACCTTGGCAGCAGTGTTTTCACATTGCAAATCCACACAATATTCTCTGTCAGTGTAACCTTCTAAGAATCCTACTGCAGATTCTTATCTAGTGAGTTTGAGCAGTTGCTGATCTATATCATGATCTACCATCGAATTTTATCAAGATGGTAACAGTCATTCTTTACTACAAAGGGAGCCAGCTGCGGAAATTTATATTTCTCCAATTGAGAAAGCAACCATTTCTTGCTCATATGTATGGAACAATGAAACATCACTAGCATTTTCTTTTAACAATTAATTTCTTGTTTGATTTCTAACATTTTTGCACTGATTTATTTTGAAGTACCACTTCCCCAAGCTATTTGTTCAATGTTTTCTTTCTTACCCCATAAATTGGGCGATGCTGTGGCCATACTTTATTCTTATCAGAAGTTGCAGGTAAGGACCTGTAGTGTGCTCTGATATCTTCATTAGAAAATTTTGGCATTGCCAGTAATTACCTTAGTTACAAATGACAGCAAAACTTGGAGAACAAACTGAAACGGAATCCTCTGAATTCATCTTCCGGTATGTGCTTCTCCAAGGAATATGTTACTAAGCACATGATCTAAGATCAAATCAAAAGAGATATAAATAATGCCCTCATATTAAAATTTGAAGTTAATATCAAATTTCATAATGCAAAACTGAAATATTAAATATTTGTCAACTTTTTTGGTTGTTACCCATTTAGTGCTTCTTGTTGGGTGGATGAAACTAAAACAATGCAACGTGCTTTATTAATTCTTTTAAGATTCTCTTGATAGGGAGCTGATAATGGGTTTAGATTGAATCTGATTGTTGTTTGAATATGTGATTTGGATCCATTCTTCGGTTATTTTTTATCCTAGGCAAATTTTGGTTCATGCATCATGGTCAGATATATATATATATATATATATATATCATGTTATCAATGTTGATTTGTTCCAAATTGAATTTGTTGCAATTGCAAATATGTCTTGATACAATTATCATGAATGAATCTTAAGATTTAGTTAGTATAAGTTTATTGAAGACTTGAACAACTGGTTTGAGCAATTTCTTTTATCCTGTTTTCCTCTGACAGATGAACAACATCAAGGCTGCTTCACTGTTCCAGGAGCATACGCTGCTAGTAATGGGTCCAGAAAGGCTGCAAGAAGTGGGAACCTATCTCACATTAGAGAAAATGGAAAAGATGGTTCACTCATTTGTAATGCCAGCAGATGACTTCCCTCCTCCAAAAGTGCATCAGTGCTCAAGAATCTAGTAAACCTTTGACCTTTCCATAAGAATGATGCTCATACCAATGGAAAGTAACAAGTTCTTTCTCCATTTCCCTTCTTTTTACCATTCTTCCGTTGTGTCATAGTTGCATCTTTCTATTTGTTTACCTGTGATTAATATAACAGATATTGAGTGAAAATCCTTTGAGCTTTTATGAGTTCTCACAATCTTGGAGTGAAAATCCTACTTTTTACCAAAAATATTTGTATAAATGGCCCCTTCCCAAGTAGTCTGCATGACTTTCCCATGATGCTTTACTTGCTTTTAATGGTGCAAAAGAAAAAGAGAAAGGGAAACTTCATTTTGGGAGTCATTGCTTTTATCCTTTTCATGAATGATTGAGGATTATAATTTGGCCAATATTATAGTCTACTGTCAGATCTTTTAGAATTGGTATTTCCTTATCTAGCTTTTTGATTTCATGTCAATTTGATGAAAAAATAAAGTTATGGATGTCAATTTGTATTTTAACACTAACATCCCCATGAATTTGATAAAGTTAAAAATTCAAAAGACACTTTCTTATAGGATGGATTCCTGCACAATGTTGAATTTTTTTTTTTTTTACAAAGATAATTATAGTTAGAGAATGGTAAAAGAAGTTAAGGCATTGAAATTGTTGTATAAATCAGTTAAACTTTCCTGTTCAATACTAAAGGCTATTTAACTTTACATCAAAGAGACTCACAAGTTTTGATACCAAAAAATATTTAATGAAAATAAAATTTTGGATAAAAAATATTATAATTCTTTTGCGTTTTTTTTCTTTAAGCTTATGATGAATTACTTTTCCTAGGTTCTTTTGTTTTTCTTTTACACTATATTTAGTAGGATGGGAGAAAAATGGAAGGAAGGGAAAATTTTGAGGGAAAAAAGAAAAGTTATTTTCTTTTATTGTGTTAGGTATAAAAGATGAAAATTAGAGGTAAAAAATGAGAGTAAGTTGTTAATAAATTAAATTGTCAATCTTAGTTGAATGAGCTTTTTTTTTTTCATCTTTAGACAAATTAAATTTTGAGGAAAGAGAAATATGTAAATTCACTCATTTGCTTTTTTTTTTTTCTTTTTTATCAAAAATATATAAAAAAGTAATCTTTTCTTTTATCCTCTTTTCTATTCTTTTTTTTTTTTTAAACTAAATACAGTGTTTGGTTTATGAATAAAAAAGTGTGCCTTTTGTTTTTTAAAAAATTATTGTAAAATAAATATAAAAGGTCAAAAGTATAATTGAAATTAATTAAAATTTAATATTTATTATAATATAGTTAATTAAAAATAGTCACAGATCCAAAATTTTTTTCAAGAGTGTTCACTATAATATAAAAAATTGTAAACAAAAATTTAAAATAATAATTAATATATTATTACAATTGTTCAAGATGAATTCCCATATTTTAAAAAACAATATATAATTGTGTCATTTCCAATGCTGTCAAATATATCTTTTCAACATACATCCTTCTCATATCATATCTTGAAATTTTTTTTAGGATTTATTAGTGTCGATATGAAAATTTTAAGATGTCCAAAAGAAAATGAACTTTAAAATTTTCTTATTTTAAAATGTTTGGACACTTCACTAAAGCACATATATATGCCCATAATTAAAAATAAATTTATTATTTTTTATTATTTATAGAGTTTTTAGATCCTAAAAATGAAATTAAAAGATTATTATGTTCTTTTATCATATTAATTTTCATATTTTTTAAATATATTTTAAAATAATATACGTCAACCCTCTAATTTCATGAGTAAAAATTTTAAACTTTATATGAGATAATTTTTCTTAAAAATAATTGCTCACTATTTTTTACTTTTTGGTAATGCCTTGAAAATATTGTGTACCTGAAAAGATTGTTTCCTTTCGTATTTGGTTTTTATTTTTCTTATCTTTTCTTCTAAAAGCAAAAAAAAAAAAAGTAGAAGAAATCATCAAACATAATCTAAGATTATACAAATCTCAAAAGGTGCAATGAAAATGTTCCATAATATTTTCCCTCTACAATGTACTAATCAATAATAAATAACAGAAAGTGGTTTCCACGATTTAAATGTGGGAAAAAAAAATTGCATTTTCTCTCTTAATTCAACCTAATCTATTCTCTACCTAAAACCACTTCAGTTTAATGTTCCTTAGCCTATGTAGGTGATGGGATTTGCATGTAAAATTACTATAAATGCACATTTATTTTAGATTTATATCGATTAGAAATAGTTTTTTTATATAAAAAAAATTATAATTTGATAATAGAAAAAAAAAATTGCAGCTTTTTATATTTAAATTTTACTACTATTACGAATTTGCATCTAATTTTGGATTCAAAAAAAAAAAAAAAATTGAATGTGCAAACATTTGCATTCTGCGACTCAGAATTGACACCAAAAACATAGTTCAAACCAACACAAGTAGACCGGTACCAGATTCCTGATCAATGGAGCCTACAAGTTAATTCTGTACATTGACAGAAAGCGAGAAGCATGTGTTCTGTTCAGCAGCAATAGGCATCTTCTGATCGGTATCAGAATAAATTTTGGTTACTAATTCATCAGTAAATGAGTTCTGTCATATTTATCAACTCTTTTAGGCTAACCAGGTTAGTTATGAAACTTTATAGATTTGCCTTATCTTCATTGTTATGCTTAGTTTGATTTTATTTTTGTTCTTGTTTTTGTATGTAACATGATGGTGCAGCCAATTCTCATGGGGAAAAAAATAAAGTACTCTAATCTCGAACAGATTGAACTTACTGCTTGTAAGATTTTGATGAAATTAGTAAGAGGAAACTGGTAGAATTCTGTATTTCCCTAGTAGGAGATAGCGAGTTGGTAGCTTTTTTTTCTTTTTATTACTTAGGAGGCCACAGCATGGGAATAAGTGAAAGTATTGTAGGTACTAAGATTTGAATCAAATCTACTGAATGGAATAGTTACATGAATCAAATAGAATTAAGTTTCGGAGAACAAATATTATTGGTTTTTATGCTCTTGGCTCTGTTGGAAAATATGGGGCAGGATATTAGTTTAGTAAAAATAATTTTGTTATTTAACTTGTATCATCCCTTTAATGAATATTGTGAAATCTTTGCCAGGATTACAATGCTAAACTTTCTGACTTTGGACTTGAGAAAGATGGTCCAGAGGGAGATAAAACTCATGTATCTACTCGTGTGATGGGAACCTAAGGTCATGCAGCTCCCGGGTATGTTATAACAGGTAAATATGATTGAATTTTTTGTATATAATTTGACATATATTGACATTTTTCTGTGAACTTGCTGAACTCTTAAAGTAACCTATATAATATGGCCGTGAACTTTCAGTGAATTTATAGTCTTAATTTCATAAAATAAAAGATCGAAACCTAGTTTGCATTTTGAAATAATAATAAAATTCAGGAGTTCATTTGGGTATTTAAGCCAAAAATTTATAGCTAATGAGACCCATACTTTTCCAGGGCATCTTACACCAAATAGTGATGTCTATAGCTTGGTGTGGTTCTACTTGAGATGTGACTGGCAAAAGATCCATGGACAAAAACCGACCAAATGGGGAGCATAACCAGGTGGAATGGGCTCGACCCTATCCTGGTGAGAGATGAAGATTTTACCGACTTATAGATGAATGACGCTTCTAAATAAAAGGTGCTCATAAAGTAATTCAATTGGCTGCCCACTGCCTTGGCCGATATCTAAATCCAGACCTCTGATGAGTGAAGTTGTTGAAGCCTTAAAGCCTCTGCCAAATCTCAAGGATATGGCTTGTACTTCTTCCCACTTCCAGGCCATACAAGTAGAGCGCATGAGGTCCACTTCAAAACCTGAACTGAAGGAAGGGTGGAAGCGGGGTTGTAATTAAGTAATGGACAACCTAACGGAGGCCCCTCCTCTCCGAATGGTATGCATGTCTCTCCATATTATAGTAACCTTCTTCATTAATCACCCAAACCTAATGTTGGCCATCCTTTACGTTTAGTATATGCCCATCCATATCATAGTAACCTAATGTTCTCCTCTCCGAATGGTATGTTGTTTTCCATTTCATTTCATGTTTTTGTTCTGGGGATTTAAGTTATCATTAAGAAAATAGACATCTGTCATAGTTTTGAAGTTCATGCTGACCTGTTCTTAATAGTGGGCATTTATGGGCATCGTTGTCCAATATGAAGGTGATTACTTAGAAGAAATTCCTGAGAGAAATAATGAAGAGCTTTTTGGAATCAGTGAAAATGGTTTCCTGTTCTTTTGACCTTTTAATTGTCTTCATTCTTTTTTAGATCAGTATTCCTACTGATTGTTCATCACCTAACATTCCCTCTAGCAATTGTGATTAGAGCTAAAACTTGTTGGTCCTCGTTCCAATGCTCATGCCCAACCATGGCGACAAGAAATTCCCTCCATAACTTTAGGGAGTATGTTGGTTGCCTGCTATACTAAGTTGAGCTTACTGCAAATACCAGAACTTTAGAATATTCAATGATTACTCCATAACATCTAATTCATTGTTTCTTATGACTTTTCTTCGTCCTTTGGAGTAAAAATGTGGATAAATTTGGCATACAACACCAATCACATTGATAATTCATGTCCACTGGGACCAACCTTTAACGTGAAAACCAGGGAGGAAGCAAAGGACAGATAAAAGATCAGAAATTGTAAATGAAATCTAAATTCTAATGAAACAATAAGACACTTGGCTGGATTGGCATAAAAAAATAGTTTGAACTGATTTTCTCTTTAATTTTCCACGTACATTTTATAGTTCAGAAGTTCTGACAACGAGACTACTCGGATGAGCTTCGAGGGTAACGGTCTTCGGTGAACAAGAAACTCTTGAGACACAATTTTCATTGTTGGCCGGGACTTTGGGTTGAGACTTAAGCATGCAAAAGCAAGACTAGAAGCAAGAATAATATCGAGGTTGATTCTTTTATTTGTTGGAGGTGATAGACGAGGATCCGATATATCACTAAGCATCATGTTTTGGAAAGAAGCTGATGAAAGTGATGTTAAGAGCTCCCCAGGATGCTTTCCCATTAGTGTTTCCAATGCCAGTACACCAAAGCTATAAACATCACATTTTTCACTTACAACAATTGTATATGCAAACTCTGCAAAAAAAAAAAAAAAGCATAAAATTTTTTAGGTTCTGACTTCAACATTTGATGAAGTGAAAGGAAAGAAGGATTTAATATGAACCTGGAGCTATGTAGCCATAAGTGCCTGCAAGTATGCTCTGATTTGATGAATCAGGATCCAAGAGTCTAGCATTTCCAAAGTCAGAAACGACAGCCTCCAAATTTGAGTCCAAGAGAACATTGTTGCTTGATATATCTCGATGAACAATTGGTGGTGAGCAACCATGATGCAAATAAGCTAGAGCATGTGCTACACATTTGATGACATTAACTCTTTTAATCCAATCCAATTCCACAGCTTCAGCATCATTGCTTAGAACACAAAACAAGCTTCCTCTTTCCATGTATTCATAAATCAAAAACATGCATTGCTTGTGTAGGCAAAATCCATGAAGCTTCACAATATTTCTATGTCGTATTTCTGTCAGCAACTTCACCTCATTTCTAAAGCTCATGCTGAATGCTGGATTCTCGGCTTCAAAACCGTGAAGCTTTTTCAATGCAACCACTCTGCCACTAGGTAAACATGCTTTGTATACACTGCCATAGCCTCCAGTTCCAATGCAATATTTGATGTCAAAATCCTCGGTTGATTTAATGATGTCTTCATACGCAATTCTTCCATCATAGTTCCACACCGAGAATATATCTCCATTTTTTGTCACACTTTGATCAGGTTTGCAACTTTTAGCTCTATGTCGGAAAATGGCCACCATCACCAATGCCAAAGTTGAGACAAGAAATAAAGTTGGAACGACAATAATGATTTTTAGATTGTGCACCACTTTGCTGTTTCTTTTCCTTTTTACAGTTGGAGATGAAGATGAAGGGCAAGGTGGGAAGCCTGTAATGGCACCACATAAATCCTTATTGCCTGTAAATGACTCTGGTGGAAGATGCAACAACACACTTGGAATTGGACCCATCAATGAGTTAAATGATAAATTGAGTTTCACCGTATCAAATGCGAAGTTCGGAACCCTTCCACTCAAATTATTGTTTGCTAAATTCAAGTCTTTTAAATTTAAGCATTTAACGATTTGAGTTGGAATAGGTCCACTCAATCTGTTTTGGGAGAGATCCAAGAACTTCAAAGCTTCCAAAATTCCAATTCCATGGGGTATGGAACCGTTCAACAGATTTGAAGAAAGGAATAGACGGATCAAATTGGTTAAATGACACAGCGATGGAGGGATCGAACCTGTGAGTTTGTTCTGAGAGAGGTATAATACAGTTAGATTCTTTAATTTTCCAATATCTGTTGGGATGAAACCCTCAAAAAGATTGGAATCTAGGAACAAAGTAGTCAAACTGGATAACAGAACTAGAAATGGAGGGATTTGACCCCTGAAATTATTGGCACCGAGATCCAAGTATGCCAAGTTATTAAGATTTGTTATTTCTGAAGGGATTGAACCATTTATTTGATTTCCATAAAGGCCCAAATATTTCAAGTTGGATAAATTGCCCAAATTAGGAGGGAGTGGACCATGAATTTTGTTTAAACCCAACGAAAGAAAACTGAGATTCTTCATATTTCCAATCTCACGAGGGATAAAACCATTAATTTGATTTGACCAGAGGCTGAGTGATACCAATTTCGTTAATTGACACAAATAGAAAGGGATGGGACCCAAAAGCATATTGAAGGAGAGATCTAGAGTAACCAAATTGGTTAGTCTCCCTATTTCTGTTGGAATGAATCCATTGAGTTGGTTATTTTGAAGGTACAACATTGTCAGGTTGGTTAAATTGCTAACAGAAGACGGGATGAGACCCAAAAGCATATTGGAGGAGAGATCTAGAGTAACCAAATTGGTTAGTCTCCCTATTTCTTTTGGAATGGATCCATTGAGTTGGTTATTTTGAAGGTACAACATTGTCAGGTTGGTTAAATTGCTAACAGAAGACGGGATGAGACCCAAAAGCATATTGGAGGAGAGATCTAGAGTAACCAAATTGGTTAGTCTCCCTATTTCCTTTGGAATGGATCCATCGAGTTGGTTATTTTGAAGGTACAACATTGTCAGGTCGGTTAAATTGCTAACAGAAGAAGGGATGAGACCCAAAAGCATATTGGAGGAGAGATCTAGAGTAACCAACTTGGTTAGTCTTCCTATTTCTTTTGGAATGGATCCATTGAGTTGGTTATTTTGAAGGTACAACATTGTCAGATTGGTTAAATTGCTAACAGAAGAAGGGATTGGACCAACAAACATGTTGCTTGAAAGATCAAGAGTAACCAAACTCTTTAGCTTGGCAATACTTAGTGGGATAGGGCCACTGAGCACGCAGTGACTGAGGTTGAGAGTCATCAACCTTTCCAGGTTCCATACTTCGTGGGGGATGCTCTGTAATGGATCGAAGTCCATATTCAAGTGGGTGAGATTGCTCAAAAAACCTATAGCTGAAGGCATATGCACGACGAGGTTCTTAGTCAAATTTAGTGAAACAAGATTCTTGATGTTTTCTATTGCCAGGGAAATGGTATCAATCTCATTATAAGAAATGTCAAGCACCAATAACTGGGTGAGGTTTCTAAATGAAGGAGGTAACTCACCTCTAAGATCATTCATGGACAGGTTGAGATAACTGAGTTTTGAAAGGGCACCTATCTGAGGTGGTATACTCCCATTGAGACCATGGCTGCTGAGATCGATCTGGGTGACACTTCCAACTGCGTCGCATCTGACGCCAGGCCATCTACAATGGTCAGCATCTATTTTGCGATCGTTACTCCACCACCCAGTCTCCATCAAGGTTTTTGCCTCTGCTGCCTGAAGAGGCTTCAAATCCAAAATTTCGTTGCTCTTAACATTTATAGACAGTAAAAATAATATTGCTATAGAAGTGAAAAAATGGGATGCCATAGCTATTCAGTTCAGGATTGAAGCCATTAACCCTAAACTTAAGGTATTTAAAGGAGCCAGGCAAACGAATATTTTAAGTCTTTGGTCGTTGCCTATGTATTGAATTTTCTTCGTGTTTTGAAGTGAAGAAAACGTTTACATGAAAATGTGTTCACTTTTCTTTGTCTTCTGAAGTGAAGAAAACGTGAACATGAACAATGTCTTCACCATTAATTGGTAGAAAATGAAGTGAAATAATTTATTGATCACTGTTAGAAAATGAGAAGTCGATCGTGTTCTGTTTTTCTTCCTTGAAGCTTTTGATAAACTAATAAATGATAATGATGTAGCCTTACCTATAGAACTTGTTCTTCTTCGCGGAAATAAAGATGAAATACAAATAATTCACATTGATTACTGGATTGTTATTATGGATAACATGAAACACCCATGTTTTCGAAGAATTTGTGGGCACATGCATACCTCTCAATATCTAGATAATTGTCTTCTCGAGCAAAGACCTTATAGCATTAAGATGAAATACAAATAATTTAACAATGATGTGTTGATTATTATTGATGGATAACATGATACAATTTTCACATAAATTTAAAGAAAAAAAAATACCAAATCAGAATTTGTAAAACCAAAATTCGTTGGTAACCGGAATTACTGGTGCTAGACCTTCAATATCTGAATTACATGCTTGGATGCGGTGGTATATAAAGTTTCATCAATTTACACATGACATGAAGTTGAAATTCAAGCCTAAATAATTGATTAATTAATTATTAGAAAAAGTTCTAAGTTAAAATCTTCAATATGAGTTTTTTTTTTTTTTTTTGCCAAGCCTTTACTAGAGTAAAAGAGTAAAATAATTAATTAGTTTGTATTGAGTCTAAATATTCCATAAGATAATAACTAATCAATATGGAGTTTTTTAATTAATTGATTGATTAAAGGAGAAAATAATTTAATTAATAACTAGTTTGTGACATGCATGGATTGTTTTATTTATTTAAATATATGTTTACTATCATGCTCCAAACCAAATGATTTAGAACGTAACAATGTTGTATACTCATGAGACGAATCTCACAAGTATATAAGTTAACAGGTATCAAACTAAATCAAAATCGCCAATCATTTCCAAAATAATATCTTATAAAATCTCAAGTTTACAAAATTATACTTTTTTCAAATTGGTCAAATATACTAAAGTTCTTACTAACAAATCTTTTAAAATCGATAATAAAATACTCACTTCGAATGCAATACCAAACTAAAGATAGATGCTAATATTGTTAATTCAAATAGTTGTCAAGATTAAGTTTCCCAAGACACAAACACCGAAATATGAAAAAAGTAAAGAAAAATAAAGGAATGAGTATGATGACTTAGTAAGTAATCGATATTCCCTCAGTTGGATTAAGCATACCACAAAACATCTAAGTCAAAACATTAACTAAATGATTCAAAAATGTAGACATCGGTTTTGTCCGGGTCTACTATTAAAATTAATAATAATAATAATAAATATATATATTTAAAAATTATTAATTATTAAAAAAAAAGAAAAGAAAGAGAAAACAGGAAAAAGAAGAAAAAAAATAGAAAGTAGGATGGCTGGTGTACGGCGCTGCTGTCGCCCCGACCAACCACCTTACAGCCCTCGACCAGCTCCTTGACCAGCCCCTGTCCAGCCACCAGACCAGATAGCCACCCTACCACGCCTATGACCACCATCTATCCCCCTATTTGAAGCTCTTTAAAACCCACAGCCTCTTCCCCTTCAACCGCTCTCTCGGACCACCTTTTTCGAAAGCTGAAAATGTTCGGATATCCCTTCACCAGAACACCAAAAAAAACACACACCCCCTACCAACAACCTCTCAAATGAAAAAAAAAAAAAAAAAAACCCAAACAGCCCCCCAAATACCCAAACAGAAAAATAAACAGAACCACACAAATCAACATAAAAAAATCATAAAACAGAAACCACAGTCCTCGTCGAATCGATGAGGAACCCAAAGCTAAGGAGATACCTGCAACAAAAAAGAAAGGTTATTAGTTTGAGTTTTTTTAAAAAAAAGGAAAAAAAAAGAGAAGAACAGAAAACTTTGAACCCCAATCTACGTCGATCGGGGTCGTTTCCGACGAAGAGGAGATCGGATCTGGAAAGATTGTGTCGAAAGGAGTTTCCGAGAGGATTTCAAAATTTTCGATTACCAACAACCACCACCGGTAGTGGCCCAGGCGACGACCGGCGTAGCAATCTAGCAACCAGATTCATGAGGGGGCAGGAGAGAACCCAGAACTCTAAAAAAAAATTTTGTGTGGAAATAGAAAAGTGAGCAAAAAAAAATTTTGATTTTTATAGAAAACATTAAGAGCAAAATGACGTCGTTTTGAGCATAGGGCCAAAACAACGCCGTTTTAGGCCAAGGAGGATCCGCACGTTGACCCAGATCCGAGCAACCCGACCCTTTGACCCGTTCTTTTCCACAGTTGTTGACCGATCCAATGGAGCCGGACCGAACCACTCTCTAGACCGGTCCGAATCGTTCCTCAACCTACTCAACTGAATCGCGCGTCAAACCGACCCCTTTTCGGTCCAACCGAACCTCCGTTGACCGGTCCGGTTCAAGTAAAAAAATTTTTTTTTTGAATTTTTGAATTTTTTTTATATATTATTATTTTTGTTATTTTAAGTTTTTTTTTATATTTATACATGATAAATGTTTAATTTTATTAGGATAAATATCTAATTGTTTTTAATAATAATAAAATGAAAACAATATAGGATAATAATTAAAAATATATATTAAAATGCTTAAGATAATAATAATAATAATAATAATAATAATAATAATAATAATAATAATAACAATTTTTATTATTTTTCTTGCCTAGATGTTGGAGGGAATAAAAATATTTTTCTAAAAAAATAATTCCGCCTAGATGTTGGAGAATTATTATTAATAAATTTTCAAAAAATATATATAAGAAATTTTTAATTAATTTTCAAAAATCATTAAAATCGAACTTACTTCGAAAATCCGTCTAGATGTTGGAGATTTTTAGAGATGTTCGTATTTTCTTAAAAACGAAACCTTAAACACTAATTCTTAATTTTCAAAATCCTAGGTTTCTAAAACCCCTAAAATCTAAAATCCCCTAAATCCAAACCTCTAAAATTCGAAACCCCTAAAAATCTAAAATTCCTTAAATCCAAACCCCCTAAAATCCAAAATCCCCTTAAAATCCAAAATCCTAAAATCCGAAACCCCTAAAATCTAAAATCCCCTAAATCCAAACCCCTAAAATTTGAAACCCCTAAATCTAAACCCTTAAAATTCAGAACCCCTAAAAATCTAAAATCCCTTAAATCCAAACCCCAAAATCCAAAATCCCTAAAATCCAAACCCTTAAATCAAAACCTCAAACTACAAAACCGAGACCCTAAAATCTCCAAACTTTAAAATCAAAACCCTAAACCTTCCATAACTTAAAATTCAAGCCTTAAAATCCTCTAAACCTTAAAACCAAACCTTCAAAACCTCTACTCAAGCCCTTACTTAAAACCTCTTAAAAATCCTAAGGATACGTTTAAAAATTTCATTTGAAGCAATTTATTCCCAAATGCCGCCTAGATGATGGGGTATTTAGAAAATTTTACTTCGTTAAGTTTTTTCACACGATTCTTAATTCGCATTAATAATAAAATTAATAAATAAAAAGTATAACAGTAAATTGAGATCTTAAATATAAACAGTCGTACCTAAGCTCTGTCTAGATGTTGGAGAGTCGAAGTGACCTCATTATACTTAAGAATCCAACTTTTAAATTGCATCTCATCCTGCATAATATTCATTGGCATACATACGTTAGCATGTTATTATCACTAATTATTTGCACTATTCCATCTTTAATTTCTATTTACTACTTGGTGATAAAATATTTTATAATAAAAAATAATAATACTTTTTAAAAAAAATTTTTGTGATATTATAAAATAAAATAAAAAATAACATTCAGAAAGAAATAATTCTTGGTGCTCTGCCTAGATGTTGGAGAGTCTCTAATAATTATTTTCTATAAAGATTGTTATTTCATTTTAAGGATTATTGTGTTAAATCTTATGCGAAAAGAGTTATTTTAAATTCTGCCTAGACGTTGAAGAATTTTAAGATAATTCTTTAACTTAAAGATTTTCTCAATATTTCTAAATAAAAAATTTAGCAAAATTTTATTTTTCCAAATGAAGGGAATTATTATTAAATTTCAAATCAAAATCATTTTTATCCAACACCGAAAATAGCGCATAATTAAATGGTACCAATTTATAGGCGTTGTGGGGGTGCTAATCCTTTCTCACACGTAATCGACTCCCGGACCCAACCTAATTTTTCGTAGACCAAAATTTATCTTTTTTTATAAACTTTAAACCCGTTTTTATAGTTCTATTAAAAAGATAAACTTTTAAGTGGCCAATCACACCCTAACAAAGATTGGTGAAGACTCTTTCCTTTTATTTTTCTCAATTTTAAAATATTTTATGTCTAGCGGTCTCAAAATCGTTACGATAAAAAATATTTTGGGTAATCTTATATTCACAAATATATTTTCATAACTAGATTCTTATATCATAAATGGAATAAAATATTATAAAATTATAAATTTATTTAGTCTCCTATAACATATTACAACCACACTTAACCCCTGTAGCATAGCATAGGTCAGAATCAAAATTTCTTCTCTAGTGCAATATGATAAAAATGTATCAAAAGTAACTAGATAGTTGCACTGACAATTATAATTAACCTATTAGTGCAATGAAATAGAACAAAGATCACAATAATCCCTTTAGTGCAATGGGATAGAATTATATCACCGATGGCACGGTGAATAAAATCACTACTCTCAACTAGTGTCACAATTTGAAACCGATATCAATATAAAAGAGTACATGTCAACATGACTAATAATTAACCCCTATTGGTCATAACATAGTCACACTATGAGACAAAAACCAAAATATATTTTCAAATTACTAATATATACAAATTCAAGATTTATAAATTTTCACAAAACATAATCCATACAAAGTAAAATTCCATAATCATTTCAAAGAAAATTTTCATATTCCAACAAATGATGGATATATAAATATATTATTCTGAAAATCATATTCGAAAATTAAAATAATATCAAACCATATTCCAAA